ATGACTGATGCGACCGAGTGGCATGACTCGAGCGCTATATGACTAATGCGGCCGAGTGGCACGACTCGGGCGCAACATGACTTATGCGGCCGAGTGGCGTGACTCGGGCATTGTATAACTGATGTGGTCGAGTGGCGCGACTCGCCACATCAGTTTGTGTGGGAAATCTTCGTCGTTCGATGACTCCTACCTTGGTGGGAAGTATTTGCATTTGGCGGGAAGTTTCTACGTTCTGGTGAGAAGTTTCCTGTGTTTGGCAAGAAGTTCCCTGCATTTGGTGGGAAATTTCCCATCGGGGGAGGTGGGGGGAATCTCGCTGCTTGTCTCAGAAGTTGCGCAACTCCAGTCTTTTAAGGCGAGGGAAGTGATTGCTGACCTTCTAGGGGAGGCGAAGGGTTGCCTCGGTTGGCAGGGCTTCACCCTATGAATTCCCCTCCCTCTCTTCTTATCTGTTTGCTTGTTTCTCTTACTTTTGGCTGAGTTCGTTCTTGTGCTTCGGGTTCTCGCTCCTCATCTTTTCCTTGGTCGGTAGACACCTCAGGTCGGTCGAGATGTCCACCTCCTCTTCCTCTTCCTCTTCCTCCTCTTCCTCTTTCTCTTCTTCCTCTTCCTTTGTTAGGTTGATGTCTAAGGCGGTAGTGTCAACTTCAAGTAGTGGTCCCTCATCGAGTGAGTGAGAGAGTGGTTCAGGCTCTAGAGGTCATGAAGTCCCAGCATGATTCTAGCTCGATTGTGACCGCGGAGTGGCTGGGCCGCGTTAGGGGTCACTACAGTATCCCGAGTGAGTATGAGTTGCACGCTCCTCAGTTTGGGCAAAGGGCCTATGACCTATTTCCGGGTGGGTTCGGACTGACCCTTGATGCCCTCGAGGCTAGGCTTAGGTTCCCTTTGCACCCGGTGATCGAGGGCTGCCTCTCCTGGTGGCATATCTCACCATCGCATATGGCTTCCAACTCTTGGAGGTACATGGTGGCCTTCCTCGGGGAGTGTCGAGGGGCGGCTATCACCCCAACCCACTCTCTTTTCCTATCCTACTTTCGCTTATCGAAGGGATTGGGCAGCTATTTTTTGTCCTCCCGCGGGGGCTTTAGGGTGAGCGGAGCGCCTTCTAACAACAAAGGGTAGAAGAGCCGCGTTTTCTTTGTTAGTTGCAGTCAGGGGTGGAGGTTTAGCCTTAGATGGTCGACTCGCGTAATCAACAACAGTTGTCCCGAGTTGTCTAACGATGAACGTGAGTAGCTAGAGTGGCTGAAGGGGATTCTTGCCGCCTCACGGGCCATTAGGGACATGACCGAGGAGTGGTTGGTCGAGGTCGGCCTTAGTCCGGCGCTCCGGGGTACCGCTCGGGCCAATCCCCTTTTACTAGTCGCCTTAGCATCATTGTACGTTACTGATCCCCCTATTTTGGGCAGATACGATGGACCTCAAGAAACTACGGGGGATGCCACATGCTTCTACAGCTCCCCAATCTGATCCTCCCACTACGCAACCCGTAGGAGATCCGAGCCGATCAGGGGGTTTGGAGCCCGATCGCCTGTGCAAGAGGCCAAAGACCGCCACGCCGAAGATGTTTGCGTCTGTCATGGCTCGGGAAGCTGCTAGCCACGCTTGCAGTCGCCCAGGGGGGCGGCCCCGGGATCCCGCCCCGTAGGAGGTTGCTGGGAGCTCGTAGGGCAAGGAGTGAGCTGGGAAGTCATAGTCGAGCAAAGGGGCCCATCCAGCCATGGTGTGAGATCTTTGCCACACTTGAGCCTACTCCAAGGATGAGCCCTTCCAGGCTCTCTCTGTGGGTGGGCTGCCCGAGGGCGAGGCGTCCGACGCTCTGGTGGCACAGTGGCCGGGTCTCACCCTCGGCGACTGGGTCTGGACGGACGGCATGGCGTCCGCGACTTATGCCCTAGGTGCTCTCATTCCAGACATCACCAGGCAATTGTATGGTTCACCTTCTGAAGTGCTGATTGAGAAGGCTGCCAAGTCTCTGGTCTGGGTATGACAATAACAATTTTTTTTTTTCCTTCGCCCCTTGCTCGACCTCCTTTGCTTATGTCTAGTCATTTCTTTATGCAGAACCTACACTACTACACAATGCTAGTGGACTGCATTTAGGATGCTGGTATGATAATCAGTAGCCTAGGGGATAGGAATGCCGAGCTCCATGGCCAGGTCAAGGAGTTGAAGGCCGGGGCGGGGCCAGAGGTGATGGCAGCTACCGAGCAGCGGGTCATCAACCTGGAGGGCGAGGTTGCACGGTTAAGGTCGGAGCTTGAGGGCATTGGGCAGCAACAAGCAAGTCTCCGTGAGCAGTTGAAGGAGTCCCGCGATTGGGTCCGCTCGATGGAGAGCGAACTGCTGGGCCTATCTCGAAGCTTGGAAGAGGCCCATTTGTCAGCGACGAAGGCCGAGGAGGCTTTGGTGGAGGAAACCCGAGTGGCTCCTGCAAAGACCAAAAGGGCGATCGAAGAGTATAAGGAGTCCCTCAGGTTTCAGCTCAGGCTGCAACGGTTGGGGCAGGTGTTGTATGAGTATGGATACCGAGTCATAGTGTCACGATTTCGGGATCGATTTCCTGACCTCTACTTTGACGTTGATCCCTTCTCGTGTCACCCCGAGGACGAAGACGTTGAGATGCCTGTGGTGGTTCCTTTTGATGACTCCGTGGATACCCTTGGGGCCTGAGTGGCGTCTCCCTTCTTTCTTTTTTGGCGTCATTCATAGCTATTTCATTTTGTATGCTGCGATCAACTGGGTGATGTAAAAGGTCCTTTTTATTAATGAAAAATTTCCTTGCTATTCTCATGCATCTTTTCTTCTTTTTACCATCGGCAGGGCTCTTGCTTGACAATCCTTTCAAATGTAAAACTTCTTTAGATTCGATATGTGCCATGTCCTAGGTACCGACAAGCCTTCTTGTGTCGTCAAGCGATAAGTGTCATCTCGGATTACCTCAGTTACTTGGTAGGGACCTTCCCAGCTTGGAGCTAACTTGCCTCGGGAGTGCGTTGGGTCACTGACCTCGGCCTTTCGTAAGACCAAGTCGCCAAGTCTGATCGGCCGAGGGCACACTCTTCGGTTGTAGAGTCTTGCAATGGTATTTTTATAAGAGAGGGCATGGAGATGTGCATGGGCTCTCCATTCCTCGATGAGATCTAAGCCGACCCAAAGCCCACTTTCCGAAGTGGCACCGTCGAAGTTCTCGACCCAAGGGGTCGGGAAGACCACTTCGGGCGGAAACATTGCCTCGACACCAAATGATAAGCTAAAAGGTGACTCTCCCATGGTGGCCTTTAGTGTTGTTCGGGAGGCCCATAGTATGCTCGGAAGCTCGTCAACCAAGGTGCCCCGAACTCCTGTAACCCTCTTCTTCAGGCCATCCACTATCGCCCGGTTAGTTACCTCGGCCAAGCCGTTAGTCTGCGGGTGGGTCACCGAGCTAAACCTCAGTTGTATTCCATAGTCCAAGCAAAATCTTTTGAATCTTTTGTTGTTGAATTGAGTGTCATTGTCGGTGATAATATCTTTAGGGATGCTGAAATGAGTAACGATGTTTCTCCATATGAATCCTTCTGCTTACTTCTCGGTGATGGATGCTAGCGGCTCGGCCTCCAACCACTTGGTAAAGTAATCCACTCTAACGATGAAGAATTTTCTCTGTCTCGAGGTCGTTGGGAAGGGGCCGAGGAGGTCCATTCCCCATTGCATGAAGGGCCAAGCGCTGTCTAGGGGGGTCAGGGGAATCGTGGGTTGATGATGTGCCCGCGCATGCTTTTGACACTACACACACCGTTGTACGTAGGCCATAGCATCCCGACGCATGGTCGGCCAGTAGTATCCTTGTCGGAGGATTTTAAAGGCTAGGTTCCGACCGCTAATATGCTCCCCACAGATTCCTTCATGAACCTCGGCTAACACCATCTGGGCTTTCATGGGGTTTAAACAACGTAGGAGCAGTTGGGTGAATGACCTTCGATAGAGTTGGTCATTCATCTCGCAATACCATGCCTGTGTGAATGGAGTCGTCGGGAGGCCGTTCTGTTGGCTGGCAGCATCATGTTTTTTTGTAGCGGAGGATTTCTTCGACCCAAGTCGAGGGCACCTCTGTGGTGGCTACCTCTTCGATCGTAATAGTTCGGTGAGGAAGTCATTCGACCTTTGGTGGCGGTTCAGTGTCTATACTCGAGGCGAGTCTTGCTAAGGCATCGGCTTGCGTGTTCTGTGTCCGCAACACCCTTGCTATGGTGAAGCCTCAGAAGCAGCTAATGAGTCTCTTTGCCTCCGACAGATATTTCGTCATGGTGGTATCCCAAGCCATGTAGTCTCCATTGATATGGCCGACCACTAGCTGAGAGTCAATAAAAACTTGGACGTCTTTGACTTGTAGTTCGAGGGCCAACTTGAGGCCAGTTAGGAGCACTTCATATTCAGCTTCGTTGTTGGTGGCTTTGAACCCGAAGCGGAGTGCATGCCTGAATGTCCGGCCATCGAGGCTTTCAAGGATGAGACCAGCCCCACCTCCCTTTGCATTCGCCGAGCCGTCGACGTGCAAGTTCCACCATTGCTCGATATACTCGCTGTCGCTACTGCCCGGGGGGGTCAATTCTGACATGAAGTCGGCTACGGCTTGAGCCTTGATGGTTGTTCTCAGGACATATTGCATGTCGAACTCCCCGAGCTCGACCGACCACTTGAGCATTCGTCCGGACATGTTAAACTTGGACAATATCTACCGCAACGGCTAGTCAGTTATTACTTTGATAGGGTGGGCCTGAAAGTAGGGTCTTAACTTTCTTGCCATCTGTACGAGTGCTAAGGCCAATCTTTCCATTGGTTGATATCTTACCTCCGGCCCGCCGAGGACGTGGCTCAGGTAGTAGATCGGTTGTTGTACTACGGAGTCGTCTCGGGTCAGGACAAAACTGATGGCATGCTCGGAAGCTGCCAGGTGGAGGTTGAGTGGTTCTCCCAGAGAGACCATAGCAAGTCGAGGTAGGCATGCCAGGTGCTCCTTTAGTCAGCTAAAGGCCTCTTAACATTCTGAGGTCCATTCGAAGTCCTTTGGGTTCTTTAGGATTCGGAAGAAGGGGAGACACTTGTCCCCTGATCGAGACAAGAACCGAGCCAGGGAGGCGAGCCTCCCCGCAAAATGTTGGACCTCCTTTACTGACCGGGGGGGTTCCATGTTAATGATAGCTTGAACCTTTTTCGAGTTGGTGTCAATTCCCCTTTGGTGGATTATGAATCCGAGGAACTTTCCCGAGCAGACTTTGAAGACGCATTTGTCGGGATTTAGGCACATGCTGCATTTCCGCAACATCTTGAATGTCTCGGTGAGATCCGTTAGGTGGCTCTGGGCGGATTTGCTTTTGACAATCATGTCGTTGACGTATACTTCCATGTTCCTACTGATCTGGTGGGCAAACGTCTTGTTCATCATCCTTTGGTAAGTTGCCCCTACGTTCTTCAACCCGAATGACATGACTTTATAGAAGTACACTCCTCGATTTGTGATGAATGACGTATGTTCCTAGTCTTCGAGGGCCATCTTGATTTGGTTGTACCCTAAGAATGTGTCCAGGAACATGAGGAGCTCATGCCCAGAAGTTGAGTCGACTAGTTGGTCGATCCTCGGTAGTGGGTAGCAGTCCTTCGGGCATGCTCGATTCAGGTCGGTGTAGTCAATGCACATCCTCCAATTTTCATTTGGCTTTTTAACGATGACTACATTTGATAGCCACCATGGGTATTTCACTTCAGCAATGAATCCTGCTGCCAGGAGTCGCTCTATTTCATCGTCAATTGCCTTTTGATGGTCACACGCTAGCTTTCGAGGTCGTTGCTTCACAGGCCACGCTTGGGCACTAATATTCAAGTGGTGTTGTGCGACTGCTCGGTTGATCCCAGGCATGTCCGTTGGTGACCAAGCGAAGATGTCGACATTTTCAACTAGTAGGTTGACGAACTATTATCTTTCCTCCTCTGGTAATCCCAACCCAACCCTAATGACCCTGTTGGGTCAGTCATGGTGCAACAGGACTTTCTGGGTGTGTTCAGTCAGTTCGGGTCATTGCGTGGGCTTGGCATCGTTCCGAGGATCAATGATAGGATGTTCGTGTCTTGGCCTTTTTAGGAATGCGACGACCGCCAGGTAGCATTGTTGGGACTCCTGAGGGTCGCTCCTTGCTTCCCCGACTCCTTCTCGTGTCGAGAACTTTTTCGCTCGATGATATGTGGAGATGACTGCTCTGAATTTGTTGAGGGTTGGGCAGCCCAGGATAGTGTTATACGTCGAGGGGAGTTCCACCACCATAAAGGTTACCATAACCATCTTGACCTGTGGGACCTCACCCAAGGTGACTGGTATGGTGGTTGTGCCAAGGGATAAGACAAAATCCCTTGTAAATCCGGTGAGTGTCGATTGACTCGGGGTGAGGTCTTCTTTGGTCAGGCCGAGTTTTTGGAAGGCATCAAAGTATAGGATATCGATAGAGCTCCCGGTATCCACCATGATCCTTTTAACCCGAGCATTAGCGATCCTGGCCGAGATGACCAACGCGTCATCGTGCTCCGGGTATTTGGTTTCTCCCATTGGGAAGGTGATCTCAGGTGCTTCTCTATGGTTGCTCAAGCATAAGCTTTCCGTCCTGCCATGCTATCTCCCCCTATCGCCAGACTGTCGCTGATCACGTCAATCTATTTTTCGACCGGCCCGGAGGGGCGGGGAGACGCTTCATGTGGCCTTCTAATATAGTGCCCCAGGTACCCCCGGTGTATGAGCTTTTTGATTTGATTCTTGAGGTCACGACATTCCTCGGTATCATGGCTATGATCATGATGGAACTGATAGTACTTCGAATGGTCCCTGAGCTCGCGGGGTGCCTTCATCGGGTTCGGGGCTTTTAGGAGCCCTCTCTCCCTGATTTGTAGGAATATCTCGGTCCTGGAGGCGTTCAAAGGTGGGAGCCTTGGGAGCATCCCATCGGGTCGGTTAGTTCTCCTTCTTGGTGGTGTCGGGAGCTACCCTCGAGTCAGTTCTGGTCATGGCCTTTTGTTCTCCTCCCATTTTCCCGCCACCAATGCTTCGGTAGCTACATATTGGTTGGCTCGTTGAAGCATTTCGGGAATGGCCATAGGGGGCCATTCAACCAACTACCAAAAGAACTTGGAGGGTCGGAGTCCTATTAGAAAAGCTTGCATTATCAAGGAAGGGTGAGTGTCGAGCAGCCCCCGGATTTTAGTAGCAAAATGTGTTACAAAATGAGCAAGTGACTTGTCGTCCTTTTGGCTGAGACTGAGGAGCAAGGTTGCGGATGGCCTCGGTTGCACACTAGCCATGAAGTTGAGCTCGAACTCTTTGGCAAGTTGGTTAAAAGAGGCGATTGAGGCTAGTCTAAGATGGCTATACGACATCCGGACTGAGCCTCGGAGTGAGGTGGGGAATGCCCTGCACATGAGGGTGTCAGAAGTACCGTATAGAGCCATTTGGGCCCGAATGGCTGCGACGTACTCGGTTGGGTTAGAGCCGCCATCGTAGGCTTCGAGAACAGAGGGGCGGAAGCTCGGAAGGATTAGCTCGTCCTGAACCACGGGTGTGAAAGGTAATGCTCCTGACGAGGCCTCGCCAAGTTCCTCTTTGGATTTGTAGAACTCGTGTTGAACTTCGTCAAGGCGCCGATTCACCGAGCGTAGTTGTGCCCGAAGGGAGTCCGCTGAGTCGGATGATAGGGTGTCAGTGTAATATGCCTCACTTTTGAAAATTTATTAATAAGGATTTATATGTAACTTGGAGGACCTAT